GTGCTGCGCAGGCGCGCGGCAGCCTGGCCTGCTCGGCTTCACCGGGGCCCTCCCGGAGCATCCCGGATTTGGGCGGCGCGCAACGGCAGCGCGGGTGCGAGGCGGGCGAGCGAGGGCGAGGCGGGCGAGCCGCAGACAGGTAGTGGCGGGCCGCAGAGGGATGGGATGCGTTACCCCGTCCTCAGCACGCCTCCCCGTCTCAGGTCACCGGAAGGCCGTGGGGGCAGTCGGGAGGACCAGCGGGGGCGGTGAGGGACCCCTGCCCGAGGAGCGAGGAGAGGGGACGGCCTGCCGTCGGTCGGTCCCCGCTTCCCCTGGTCGCTCTTGCATGGCTGGCGGCCTAAGACCTTTGGTTCCCAAAGAGTGGCTGAGAGATTCCAGCTGATACTGAGTTGCAGTGGGGACCGACACCCCTTAGGGAGCTTGAGCTGGTCCTTGAGTAAGCATACCAATCAGCCCGGCCCAGCTGCGACTTCACAGCAGCCACTGGCAATGATTGGGAAGGCTCTTCCCTACAAGCTGAGCTTTGGGGTTACTGTAGGGAGTGTAGCAGGTTGAGGGCTTGTGAAAACTCCCACGGTGTTGCTTCAGGTTTATGAGCTATACATTTCACATCTGAGTTTTTATATTTCATGGCTGGTTGTTAAAGGGTGTTTGTTTGTTTGCTTGTTTTTGTCCTGCCATGGGTTTGACTCCTTTCTCTCAAAAGCAATTTTTGTTGTCTTAAATCCTGTAGCAGAATGTCTGAACAAGAGCGTATACAGGACTGCCTGAGGAAAGAGATAAGGTCACTTCTTATTTCCACTAAAGATGGTTTGACCCCACAACAGTTGGAGAAGGAGTACCTTTTGATGGTTGGTAACCATCTCCCGCTCCGAATCCTTGGATATCGGTCCACTATGGAACTGGTGTTGGATATGCCTGATGTGGTTAGTGTCTGCCCCTGTGGGGATGGTACCATCATACTGAAAGGTACGTTTAAGACTTCGGAAGGTCTATAAGCTTTATAATTAAAACATATCACTCAGTGCAGAGTTGTTCTAGCTGTACAGTTATCCTGTATCCCAGGGTGGATGTCATCGGGTTGTGGTCGTTGGTGCCTTTGAGGTTATGGGCAAAGAGAGAGTAAAGGAAAAAAAAAAAAAACCCGCCAAATCCCCATTCTCCAGAAAAATGGATATTCACAAAACTATATTTGTACAATTTCAGATTACTGATTTTTTAATTGCCTAAAACTCATTTTAAATGTCACGAAGCACAAATATGTCATTGTAGGCATGTTTGGTCTTCATTTCGAGAGTCTCACAACTTCCAGGCGCCAGTTAACAGTAATAACACAGTAGGCTCTTTGCATCTTCTGGTAGAGGAGTTAGGAAACTGTTAGTCAGAATGTAAAATGGTGGAACCAAGAGCTTTACGCTATGCTCCTTGGAGAGACAATGGCAGTTACAAAGGATACGTGGAGTATGTCTTTTACCTGAAAGTGATTTTTCCCCCCATATCTCCTTAGCCATTCCAGATGAATCCACCAAAGGAATAGCAAGTTTAGTTGCAAAGCAGAGGAGGAGCCATAAGGTCCGAAACTCCATGCAGAAGGGGAGAAGCAGTGTTTGCACCGGCCGCGTGCCTTACCGTGGAAGGGTGCCCCCTATACTTCCAGCTGTTGTGAAGAGCGAGTTGAAAGACCTTCTGGCCTTGTCCCCTGTTCTCCTCTCTGACTTTGAAAAGGCGTTTGCCAAGCGGTTTGGACGATCGTTCCAGTACATGCAGTACGGATTCCTCTCCATGTTTGAAGTGCTCAATGCAGCGTCGGATGTCATTTCTGTAGAGCAGACCAGAGCGGGTTCTTTGCTGACACTGAAAAAGAGTGTCTCAGAGGAAAAGCAGAGAGGATGGCCAGCAGGTAAGCCCGGCGGCATTAACAATTGGGTCATGCCCACACATTCAAAAATATGGTCACCCACAAGTACGACGGCAGTTGATACATCAGTATGATGGGGGACTTCTCAGAAGACTCCAACCCAAGATGAAGAGCTACAGGCAGTTAATGGCTGCTGAGAGAGAATTCATCTTCTCCAGAGACAAGCCCTATGATGGGTTCTTTTTTCTTTTTGGAGACAGGGTTTCTCTGTGTAACAGCTCTGGCTGTCTCGGAACTTGCTCCGTAGCCTAGGCTGGCCTCGAACTCACAGAGATCTGCCTGCCTCTGCCTCCCGAGTGCTGGGATTAAAGATGTGCTCCACCACTGCCCAGTTTGTGGTGGGTTTTCTAATCCCAAGCAGTCAGCCCTATATATATTTACATGTGAGCAGCACCAAATGAACTCAGCAGGCTGTATTTATATACGTGTGTGTTGTATGTAACAGTAATTGAAGAGGCCACAAACTTGAGAGGGAGATGGGGATATGGGAAGAGTTAGAGGGAGAGGGAGAAGGAGAAATGATATAATAATTGTGGCGCTTGAGAGACGGCTCAGCAGATAAGCGTACTGACTGCTCTTCCAGAGAGCCAGCATTCAGTACCCCGCACTCACATGGAAGCTCTCACAATTGTCTGTTACTCTAGTTACAGAGGATCTCATCCCCTTTTCTGGCCTGTGTGGGCACTAATCTTGCATGTGTTACACAGACATACATGCAGGCAAAACACCCACACACAGAAAATATTTTTAAAAAAAGATTGTTCTGTGGACGAACCCATGTTAAAGCAATTCTGGCACATAGGGAAAGGTAATTGAAGGGTTAAACTCCATGAGTTTATTAAAGTTAAAACCCTGTCTTCCACTAAGTTAAGTAATCTTAGGCAAATTAATTAATCTGCATAAGCCTTGGTCTCCAGATCTCCAAAGTATATAACACATGGAATTTGGACTTGTACTGAGGACCTCACATGAGACGAGGTCTGTAGAGAGCCTGGCATTTTGTAAGTTGATTCTGTGTGGCAGATGAGGCTCAGAGTAATGTAATCATCACTTAGACCCTAGACAGAAGGTACACTGCCCAGGGCAGGGGCCTATCTCAGAGAATTTTATGTCTGTTTCACTGACCCTTTTTCTCCAGAGTCTGCATTTAGATCAGAGTGATTGTGTCATGAGTTTACAAAGCAGTGTTTAAACTGGTGGGTGATGTAGTTCACTCTGCCCGTCCTGGAACTGGGGGGGGAGGGGGCGGTGCGGTATGCGCCTCAACCTTACCAGTATACTTCAGGGGCTCAGACTTAGGAAGACTCAGTTGTGTGGTTAAGCTTACAAGAGTTGGGGGTGTAACTCCGTGGTAGAGCACTTGCCTAGCATGTACAGGGCCCTGGGTTTGTTCTTCAGCACTGGACGAGGAAAACAGACAAAAAACCATATTATGTAAAGCAGTTTGCATATGTTTCCTGAACAGTAGAAGCAGATATTCCTTCCCAGTGATTGACTTGTTCACATTTCCCATCCATGGCTCATCTCCCATATCTTCAGATATCTCAGGCGTAATTGGTATATTTGGTAATCTCTCTCTCTCTCTCTCTTCCCATCCATGGCTCATCTCCCATATCTTCAGATATCTCAGGCGTAATTGGTATATTTGGTAAACTTGATCTTGGGGTAAAGAAAGCACTAGGCTGTGCCGATTTTCAGAGATACATGTTGTAGTACAAAGTACATTTCCCGATATTTGATGAGAACTTTTATTTTAGGACCATGTCTTATCTTGTAGCATTTCCTCCTCCCTTTCCTTAGAAGGTGGTCACCCACCGTGAGAAGCATAGTTCTATGCAAACTTTTTAGTTGGACACTGTTTGCTCTCAACATTGTTGGGAGAATTTAAAAATAAAAATAACGAAGAGATGTGCTATTTTCTTGAATTCTGGGACTTAATATTAGAAGAGTGTTATATTTCCTCAAACTCGTCTATAGTAACCAGTGAAATTCTAATCAAAATCATGAGACTTATTTTTGATAAAAAATTAATCAGATTTATATACAATTAAATGTATATGGAAATGTAAAAACAAAAGATATAGAATAGCCAAAACAATTGTAAACAAGAACAAAACTGTAGGACTCAGTTTTATAATTTCAAGATACTATAAAGTGATAGTGACCATGGAGCACCAGGTAATGAGATACTTCCATGTGGAAAGCATGCCTGTCCAGTAAACACCACCACAATAACCGTTAAGTTGTCAAGGTTTTACCTATAAAATGCTACTTCTCAATTATATTCAGGTGACCTTATATGGAGTTTTAGAGAGCAACAATCTTTTCAGGAACATAGTTTCTTAGTATTTTTTTTTAAATAAGTGACTAATCACTTATATAGTATGTAAGTTTTATTGAATATATACACTCTTCCTTAATTTTTTCTTCTAAGTTGAGGGCTGTTAGCGCATAGTAGTCTTTTTCTATAAAATCTCTGGGAAATTGCTAATCGATTTTTGGTTTTTCTTCTTTTTTCACAAAAGGTAAAATTTTTACCCAGCCATTTAGAATGAAACAACAGGGCTCCTATTCTACTGGATTCCCAGTAACGAAGACATGCTTTTCACAACCCGCTTCAAATATGGAACCACCCAAGCAAGTACTGAACATGGAGAAGATGCCCACATTTAATACAATGGAGATTTCAAGGCTGAACCACACTGAAAAATTAAACCAGGTAAGGTACCGGAACTCAGGGAAAGAGAGAGATGCCAAAAAGAGGCTTTTGAGCTCAGTGGGTCATCACTTAGACCTGATGGGAAAGTTGACCTTCTAAAAGTTAAAACCTGGAGCTGGAAAAGTGGTGTAGTCATTGAAAGCACCTGCTGCTCTTAAAAAGGACCCAGGTTCAATTCCCAGCACATGGTGGCTCACAGCCCTCTAACTCCAGTTACAGGGAATCTGATGTCCCCTTCTGGCCTCTGCAGGCAGCAGACCACAGACATGCGTGCAAGCATTCACCTAGACACATACAATAATAAAAATGAAAGGTTGAAGCCAGCCATTCATTGATAAGCTCTCTTGTGGTTACAGTGATTAGGAAAAGGTGAGAGGCGTTTTATCGGCTACATTGTTTCTGGGAGGTGTTGGCAGATACCTCCATGGCTGCACCTCCATTTCCAGTTTCTGTTTAGTATAGTCATTTGACTTCATGCTGGAGACTATATCTAATGTACATAGTTGCTATTTGTATATTGTCTTTGAAATATCAGAGTCATTTGCTCATTTTACAAGATTGGGTTGTCATTTTATT